CTGCTCAGCTCAGTGCTTTGTAGGAATGTGTTATTTGTACCTCAGGTTTGTGGGTGTTATTAACAGACAGCAGGTGCACTTTGCATGGTATAAGTGGTTGGGGCTGTTAGGTAGGTGGCAGATGGGAATAGCATTGGGAAAACCAACTGTGCTTGGGTAAATGTTTTTGGAATATCTCCTCTGATAATTCACTATTGTTGAAAAGTAGCTTTATGGTGGCAAACTTTAGAGAGCTGTTTGTATGCAGCTGGGACTGAATTTACAGACTGTCTTTCTCTGACTTGCTAAAAAGCTAAGGATTGACAACCCCTTTCATCCTGCATTATCCAGTGTAGCTTTTAACTCCAAGAAAACTATGTTCACAAATTGATGCTCTGCTCCTTTGGGGTTGGTGCAGAAACATTAAATTGTACTAAAATATTCATATGTGAGTGCATTTAGCTGAAAGCAATTGATGTGCTTTTCCCTGGAGAGAGGGGGAAAAAAATTGCTGTATGGCCCTGCACTCCAGCAGACACCCTAGCCACGCTTAGGAGTAATTACACAGCTTGGCTGATCAAAGGTTCTTAAAGTGAAAAAGAAACTGCAGTTGGGCTCTAGTTTAGTGATGTGTGCTTCCTGAATGGAGTGGGTCAGCTGCACCAAAGCTGGAGAAGTGTGTGATGTACAGTGCAATAGGCATGAACTACTGTCAAGCCAGAAAATATTTTATTGGCCTAATAGCTTGTAAGTGGAAGGAATTTCTTGTACAAAGCAATTTTGATCACAAAGATTTCTTTCTAATTTCATTGTCCTTTCACTCTTGCAAAAAAAATAAAATACCTGAGCTGCCTTTAAAAATATGTGTATGCCAGAGGGGTTTATTAAACTGGCCTGTTTAAAAGCATGCCATTGGTAGGATGATAAATTGATGCGTGTTGGAGGTTTTCAGCATAATTCAAAAATTGTCATAAAAATCCATAGCAGCTGACAACATGCTTGCAAAGTAGCTGCCTCAGCTTGTGGGGCACCTGTGGCTGCCCTGTGGGCTGTCACAGCACCATTCAAAGGCTCTGGAGTTGAAATAAAAACTGTTCTGGTAGTTCTCTCAAGCAAATGTCCCTTAACTGCCCCAAGGCAGCCTAAGGCATATTTAAATATTCTCGTAAGTATAAATGAAGTAATATCACATGCCACAAATTATTCTATAAATAATTGCAAGAGTCTGTATGCACAGGAAAATAACTGCATTGGTATGTTGGTAATTGCAGTCATCCACATGCAGCACTCCTGTGCATTTGTCCAGACAGCAGGTAACTGGCTGTGTGGATTCTGGGGCCAGATGTGCAGATTCGTGCATGTGAAGTCTTGCCACTGAATAAGCTGGGTATGTCTGAAGCAGAAATAGAGTTTAGGGAATGGCCAAGGAGGTTTTGTTTTTTCATTTTAATGATTAGCATGTAATGAGTCCAAGACATACCGTGGTCATTTCTGTTGGAAAAATACAAGTCTAGATGGATAACTAGCAACCGAGAAAGCGGATTTTTGATTTGGAATCCTGACTTTGAATAGGATCAGTTTGGGAGTTGGAGTTCTGGGGGTTTTTTGGGGTGGTTGTGATGCAACATTTTTGTGCTTATAAGCTTGGAGGTCTGTGTCAGAGTCCTGCCTGCCACAGTGTTGTGCAGGACGTGTGGCAGGACACATGGAAGCCCCTTGGCCTCTGTGCCAGTTTGCTGGCAGAGTCACCTTGGCTTGCTGCTGTGGCCCTTGGGAGAAACCTCGTGGGTGCTGGTGACCCCCTCCACACACATCTGCCCACTGCTGATGCCCTGAGCCCTCCCAGCAGCACATCTGGAGCGCTGGTGCCACCTTGTGCTCTGCTTTGCAGAGTCTTGCCTGTTTGGTGAATTCCATGTCCTCTGCCATGTGTTCCCTCCATCCTGCTCCTCCTTGCCATCAACTCTCTTCTCTGGTGTCCTTTCCCTGTACTGATGTCTGCCAGCAACTTCATAAAAATATTTGTGGCATGGCTGTGATGTTTGTACAGTATTTCCTGTGTGAAATGGAGTTACTGAGAGCCAAGACAATTTTCTAAGCTAATGTCATGTCCATACACCACCAAAACGTTTACTTCCTTGACTTCAGTTGCTTTTGGCACTCCATTTGTTCACAGTGCTGTGAACCCTTTGCTCTGGGATGTGTGTGCACTGTTTTGTTGCCTGTTCTCGTGTGGCCCAGTGCTGGCAGCAGCCCTTCAGTGGAAATCTGCCTGTGCCCAGCTCTAGGGAGTTGGCAAATGCTGCTCCATGTCCTGGACTTCGCTGTAAGTGCCTGTAACTGGGGGCTGTGCATCAGCTGCCTGGCAGCAGTAATCAGAGCAACTTCCAGGGTTCCAAAAAGCTGGACTTGACATGGGTGTGAAGCCATGTCTGGCCCCTGAGAGGTGTGAGCCAGACCGGGGTGCCTGTGCTCTGTGCCTTGCCAGAGCTCCCTGCAGAGCTGCTGCCCCGCGCTGCCGAGGCACAGCACCCTCTGCAAGGGACTCTGCCCTGGGCTGCCCAGCTCCTTTCTGCTCCCCTGCCTCTCCTGCTTCCAGGGGCTGCAGTCCTGACCTGGCACTTGGACACAGCAATCACAGGACTCAGCAGAAGGCCTGACAGAAGTTAGTGATTTCAGGGAAAACATCAAAACAAGGCTATTACTCTGAAAATAAATAAGGATTTGAATTTCTCAGTGCTTTATGTCGTCTCTGGATGACCAGTTGAATTCTCCTCAGGACAGCAGTGAACAGTCCTGAAGCTTTATCATTTAGACATAGTGGGTCCTTTGGGTCCCTCCTACTGAACTGCAGAATAGATTAAAACTAAGATTTAAGCAGTCCTGTCCCTTTGACAGCACAAAAGTGTTGCTAAGAGCCCTGCTGTCCTGTGCTCTCTCTGTGGAAACATTGCTGAGGTGATCTCCTGTCAGGGTTAGAGCTGACTGGCAGGACCACTTGTCTGAGCCAAGGAGCCAAAAGCACATAACCTAGAAGGCCATGGCCTAGATGCATAATAAGTGCTTTTAGACAAGCCTGGTGATTTACAAATGTCCTTTTAATGAAACATCCTTGTCTTTCCTAGATATTTTAATAGAATATATTCATAGGCATCTGGCTCCTGGTTAGCTGGATTCTTTCCAAAGATTGAACTTCACAATGTTAAGCAGACTGATAAGAGTATCTGGTAGTCTGGATGACTGGCACTTAATGAATTGCTCTCAAAAAAATCAAATTACAGTAATGTGTCTTTAAAAAGAGCTCGTATTAAAGACAGCATGATGTTAGAATAATTTCTCCTGTAACATCTGTTCTTTTATTTGGTATAATTAAAATATTGCATTCTTGCCATGAGTTCTAATGTGGACATATTAGGTTACATTGCAGCTGTGGTTAAAATAGATTGACCTCCAATAGTAATCCACTTGGTAAAAGCCTGCTGAGGCCAAGGAGTTTCTGAGTGTGTTCACCAGCTGCGTGGTTTTGTGGAAGTACATGGACTAGATTCCATGTTTCAAAGGAAGCCTTTTTGATAGGAAATACTTTGTTTCTGCTTAATTTCCCCTCCCCTTCAGTTTTTACACTAGAGAGGTTTTTTTTTTATAAAAATACAGAAAAACTTCATAAATTTCATTTCTCTATTCCTGTTAAAAAAACCCATAGTGGGCAGAATCTGTGGTTGGAAAAACATCAAAAAGCATTTTTTTCTTTAACTGATGTAATGACTCTGAGGCCTGTGTGGCAGAAGCCTCAGTGGGTCTGTGTTTGAGCACCTTTGTTTGCCACTCTGCTGTGTGGCTCTGTGCATGTCCCACAGCTGGGCTTGGCTCTGCCATGCTAAAAGCTGCTTAACTGTAATGCAGGTTCAGCTGCACAGTGGTAAGATTGGTTTTGACCCTCTTACCCTCCCTGTGGCCCCCCAGTATTATTTATTGAGTTAAATTAGATTTATATTTTCTTAGATATAGAATACCCTTGGTATTTTTAAAAGAGAAATTATGTTAGTGTTTGGGGCTGTGTCTTTTCTAAGCACGTGTGAGGTACCACATTTTGACTGATTTTGGTAGATGAGCCCCTAACTAAATTTATGTGTTCATTTTCTGTTATTGAATGAGTTGGTGAAAAGTACATTTTTTTAGTTTTCTTCTTCTTTAGTTGTGACATTGGTTAGCTGAAGAGTTCAGCTCTGTCTGGAAGAACTGTCAGGGCTCTGAAAGACCCTTGGTTTTGGGTAGATGATAGAATGGATGACTTTCAGCCCAAGGAGAAGTAATAGTTTTCAGCTGTGCATAAAACAGCTGACACAGATCTATTTACCTATAAATTGCAACCTCTTTTGACTGTAAGGCTCTTTGGAGATGTGAAACTGGAAGCCCCAAAGTGCAGAGTGTTGGTGTGGCTGGTGTGCCTTCTGTACTCCTGAGTGGGAGTGGGGAAGGGAGGCCTGGGGAGGGCTGGGGTGAGGAGCACAAAGTGCAGGTGTGCAGGGCACCAGCCCTCAGAGGTTCCTCCTGCTCTTTGGGGAGCCTTTCAAAGGTCTAACACCTGAATTTCAGTTTGAGCATTCTGTCTTGGGGAAAGGCTCTGGGGGCCTTCGAAGAAGAGCCCTGGTCTGCTCTTCAGGCAGCTGCATTTTCCATCTCTAGGTTATCTTCCTTAATATTTGCACTGGGAATCTCCAGGGTCTGGAGAACATGGATTGCTCTGGCCTTTAGCTGAGCAGTGTCATATGTGTTTGATGCAGGCTTTGTTTATTTTTTTCCCCTAATCTGTCTTTGCTAGATGCTCCTTTGGGATTCTCCTTTTGCAGTCACATTGCATCCCCAGGTGGGGAAGGGAACCAAACATCAGCTGCCTTTAGCATTGGAAACTACTGTAATGTAAAAACTGCTGCATGTAATTGATTTGGATTAAGGTTTGTGAGAGCTCAGTGAGACTGTGGTGTGGGGACCAAAAATGTCTCTCTCTTGTTTTTTCCTAGGAACTTTACATTGCTGTGGGAATATCTGGAGCAATCCAACACTTGGCTGGAATGAAAGACAGCAAGGTATGTGAAGGTGATGCACCAGAAGAGATTTTTGAGAAAGGAAGTGAGCTGATTCTCTTGCTTTTGCATCAGTGCTTTAGATGGTTTTCGTATTTCCTGCTGCTTTAAAACACTCTGACAAAAAAAGATACTGTGGCAAAACATCTCATGGAGTAGAAAAACCTTTGCACTACAACCCAAAGTGATCAGTGGAAGCAGCTAATTGACTTTGCTTAAAAAAGCCCAACCCACAGCACATATGCCTGAATTCTATACCATAGTTCCATTTGCCTTTATTCCAGACTATGACATATTAATTCATGCATAACAATGCACAATTTGAATTATGAACTTACTATTCCATAAAGTAAAAGATGTCTCTGACATTCCTGCATTTAGCCATTCAAATGGAAACCTGCAATAAAACGGCAGTAAAACTTTAAAAGGTTTAACTCATTGGCTGCCAAAGCAAATAATCCTAAATTGGAATTGCCAGTTTGGCCCACAGTGCAGTGTTTGAAAAGAGGAGCAGAGTTACCTGCTGATTGATACTATCAAATGGCAGACATCAAAAACTGGAGGTCCTGCCTCCCACAGTAATTTTTTCAAAAGGCTATGTATTTTTTTTTTTTGTATTTTCAGAGAATGAACTTAACCAAGCCACAATTTTTAATAGCTTACAAAGCTGAGGAAAAGGGTTGCAAGACTTGTCAGGTAGTTTCTTGTGTTTAACTAGTGACAGACCAGTGAGTTTGTGACTGTAATTGTCCTCACAAACCAGCCTGTGTGGTAGGACGATCTCTGCTTTCTTACCATTTCTTTTTCTCATGTATTATATAAATATTCTGGGGGGAAATGCTAAGCTTTCTAAAAGCAAGGACCCGAGTGGTGTTAGCATTAGTTGATGCACTGGAAAAAAACCAACCAAAATTCAAGATGTTAAGGGTGTGTGATGGGCAGGGGTGAAGGTGTCCCTTGAGAAGTGGGAATTGTGGCAGTGTATTCCCAAGGGCTTTGGTGAGCAGCACTGCCACAGTTCTGCCACCTTCCTGCCTGCAGTGCAGCAGAGGGAAAGTCCAGGCACAGCACTGCTGCCAGGGCCACCTGGGCTCCTCTGGCACTGCTGGGCCACAGGTGGCTGGGCTTGGAGCAGCCAAACACAGGTGGCTGGGTTTGGAGTGCCCTTGGCTCAGCGAGGAGATGGGCAGGGGTGGTGAGCAGCAGTCACTGCCTGAGAACTGGATATTGCAAGCTGTGACCCTCTTTGTGTTTATCTGCTACCTTCTCTCAGTTAACACTGCCAGCAGCACTGGGAACTTCTGACTTGATCCAGAATTTCTCTTGTTACGAAAACACTGAGCAGTGATATTATCCTGTACTGTAACAGCAAAACCTCTACTTTCATGGCTTTTCCAAAGGCATGTTTGATATTTTGAGGTATTCTGCTGGGAGAAATAATGACAGATGAAATTTGTTCATATGAGATGCTTATTTAACCCTTCAATTTCTCCCATATCTGAGTTTTTTAGTGTAAGCTCATGTGTCTGTTGTAAAATTCAGATTTAGTTATTGGTATTTGGAATGTGTTCTGCCTTCCTTTTAGCTAAAGCATTTAGGTGGGGTAGTAATGAAGAAGATCCAGTTTTCCCAAACAAAGAATTCTGCAGCCATGGGAGCTCTCTGGAGCGTCCCCTGTCCTCCCTTAGCACTCTGAATTATCTGGCATTGTGAACTTGCACACTTCAGGATATGTTTTCCAAAGCAGTCAGATGCTTTCTACCAAGTGAAATGTATAATTTATTTGTTCTTTTACAGCAAGGTAGAAAATGCAGCTTTTGAGGAGACCTGAAGAGTTGTTGTTGCTTTCTTTCCTTATTTCTAATTCCCTCATGAGAGTTCCCCTGTATTTTCTTACTTAGAGATTTAACTCACAAAGTTCTGTTGTGAGCAGGGTGTTGCTTTTGCTGCTCCCCTGAGTTAGCAATGAGGTAGGGAACCAAATCTTACTGAAGTTACTTCAGGTAAAGGAGGCAGAGGAAGGACTAAGCTGCCAAACCAAAGCTTCAGACAGTTTTGCAAGCAATTTGTTAATTATTTTTGTGCTAAGGACAGAGCTGGCAGCCCCTGTGGATGGTTCTGCAGGGAATGGCAGGGCCTCAGAAGGGTCAGAAAAGTCTTTACTGGGCCAGTACCCTCAGGGATCACAGCCTGGATTTGCTTCCTGCCCTGCAGCTTGTCTGGGGAGGCTTGCATTTGCAGAGAGGGGTAACTGAAGTAAAACTCTGGAAAAGAGTAGAGCTGTGGAGAGAATGTTTCAAGGGCAGCATTGCTGCAGCACTTGCACGTCCTTGGCTATGAGCTGGGGCAGGGCTCTGGGAACTGCCTGCTTGCATGAGTGGTGGGGTCCTTTACAGGGACTCTCAGGGGATACATGGCCAAGAAATAACATTTCTGGGGACCTAAAACCACAGGATTTGTAAAGGTTTCTCTTTGAGTTACTGCCACTAGGCCCTGCTTACGGAGCCATTGATTGTGTTGGACTTTGAGTGGGACAGCCCGGGGGGGTCCCTGGCGTGGCAGTGCCCGAGCTGCCCCAAGGCACTGCGGTGTGCAGGGCAGGCACTGCCCCAGCGCTGTGCTCCAGGCTCTCCTGCAGCTGCTGCCTCTGCTTCAGGAATCTCCTGCCTCCTCCGCGCAGTGCTCCCCGTCCTGCTGCAGATTCTGATGAGGACACCCCCCATGCTTATCTTGCTGGGAGCTGTCACAAGCAGTTAAGGATGATTCAGTGTAGGGCAGGGTTTAAACCAAGATGCTTTCTGGATCATTGTGTTGGGATTTGTTGTGCTGTTTTCTACTGTGTGACAAACTAAAAGCTGTCCCATTGTAAGTACAGAGGCCTTTGGGCAGGGCTTTATTGTGTTTGTTGTAACTGCTGGTTAGTTCTGCAGTGGTGCAGCTTAGAATGTGCAGATAATCCTTTGTAGTAATTTTTTTTCTACACTTTTCAACAGGGAAGGATAGCAGAGATGTGTATGATGAGCAGGGATGGAGGTGCTTGTTTTTGAGACGGAAAAATATTAAATGCCCAGATAAATCTTCTGCTTCTGGGGGCTTGGAGAGAATACAGCCCATTTCCTGGCTAAGACCTGGCCCTGTAATCCAGCCCCTGAGGATGATCAATATCTAGATTCATATGGTGCTTTACCTTTGCTTGCAGACCATTGTTGCTATTAACAAGGATCCAGAAGCTCCAATTTTCCAAGTGGCAGACTATGGACTGGTAGCAGACTTATTTCAGGTGAGGCTAAACTTGATGTGCAGGGTAACTTTGGGAGAGCTGACAGGAGCTTACATAATATAATCTAATGAGAGTTAACAATGTCTGTGTGAGGGTGTTTGGGTTGTTGTTTAAAAATTTGCTTTCTGATGTCATGATTTGCATGCTTAAAATCAAATCCCTGCAAGTAGGTTGTGTTGGGGGGGGGTGGGGGGTGTCACAGCCAGCCTGCATCAGTTCCAGTTTCCTGAAGTTGAACCATTTTGGAAATAACCACACATAGGTGCTTGTGTGCATTTTTAAGCTTCATAAAGTTTGGAAGTAGAGAGTTGGCAGGAGGTGTGACTGTTTCTGCCTGGGCTTGCTGCCTCACTGCCTGATGGCCAGGAGGAGCTTGCAGTTCCCACTGGAGCTCCGAGCCAGCCCTGTCCCAGGCCTGTGTGTGGCCACACGTGTGACAGGCGGGAGTGTCGTGGCTCTGTGGAGGCACGGGCAGAAACTCTGCCAGCACTTAATGCCATTCCTGAAATAATGCCCGCTGGCTCTGTGGTGAGCACGGGCCTCTTTGTGAGCCAAAGTCACATTCTGAAGAAACACCATGTAGACAATTTCCTTAATAAATTTTGTACGAATGCATTATTTCCACCTAATGGAAATGTAGCTCTCTTAAATAATTAAGAGGCTTTATTCAGCAGGAGAGAAGTGGGGAGTGCTGTGAGCCCAGAGTGCTGTGCTGGGAGGGTGGGCAGTGCAATTGCAGGGCTGGGAACTGCACAGGGCGAGTTTGTGGGGGTCAGAGGGGAACGTGCACTACCCTGGCACTGGTGTTTGCAGGCGGTGCCAGAGATGACGAAGCTCCTGAAGAAGAAGTGAGTGCTGGTGACGGGACCCAGCACTGTGGAGTAAGGGCAAATAAAGGATTTTACTGGAAAGAGGTGGGGTCGGTCACTGCGGTGTTGGGATTTTGTGTTGGGGTTTTTTTGGTGGTCAGTTGCATGGCACATGGAGCGGTGGGGTGGAAGAAAGCAAGACAGGGAAAGCAGGTAAGAGAAGAAGGCAGGAGCGATACAAGGCAGGCGGCTGTATGTGTTTGTCAGGGTTTATTCCCATCTCACACCCCTCCCAGTCACGCTCAGCCCCTGGGCAGGGTCAGGCTGGGGGGTCCGACCGGGGAGCCAGGCTGGGCCCAAGCTGTCCAGCAGCTCTGTCGTGCCCCGGCACTTTGGGGCTCGTGCTGGCCCTGGACTGGTGGAAGTTCCGTGGTGTTCCCGGCACAGTCCGTTTGTCCCTCCAGGCCCTGTGGGTCCGTACTGCCCTAGGACTGCTGGAAGGTCCATTGTTCCCAGATGGCCGCTGTAGGTCCAGCTGGCCCGGAGCTGGTGGCAGGGCAGGTGGGTCACATGCCACACACACTGGGGAGCAGAGGCGATGCTGGCCTCACCCTAGGCTGGTGGCCGCTGCAGGAGATGCTACAGGTTCTCTTCACCACTGCCACCTCAGCTGTGGCAGCTCCGTGGGCCAGCGGGGTGAGCACGTTCCCCACAGGAGTCCCCATTGCCCAGCGGGCCCTATGCCTCAGGAACCCTGCCCAGCCGCGGCTCTGGGGGCCCCAGCGCCCCATACTTCTCCTCAATCGTGGGGGCACCCTGGGGGCAGTCGAGGAGCGGCTTGAGCTGGAAGACATCAAGACTCTCCTGGTTCCTGCGGTTGTAGACGCTGAGCCGGTGGCCCAGGTCGGGGCTGGCCCCCACCGAGCCGGCCGGGCTGGGCAGCTTCAGGTTGACGGGATCCAGCCCCTTCTGCGCCAGGCACGCCTCTTCCGACAGGGACGAGAGCAGCTCCTGCACCGCGGCGCGGGCCGCGCGCTGCCGGCCGGGCACCGCCTCGGGCCGCGGCTCCTCGCAGGCCGCGCTGCAGTCCGGGGACGAGCCCAGCGTCTGGCTGCTCTCGCTGCAGCCCCGAGTGCCCGAGCTGACGGTGGAGCGCGAGGCACTGCCCGACGTGAGGCTGGCCGAGGTCCCGGTGCTGCCCAGGCGCAGCGGCACCTCCACCGTGAACAGCTCCGAGGACGCGTTGGGCCGGTGCACGTCGATGGCGGCCGTGGTCACCACGCAGATGGCGGCCTCGGGGACTCCGCTGTCTGCAGGGACAGAGCACAGAGGCGGCTGAGAGCCCGTGCGGGGAGGGGTGCAGAGCTAGAGCGAGTTCATGTGGAGCGCTGTGTCCCTACAGTGGTGGCCACAAAGCCATCTGCGACAGAGCACACAGACCCCTCCAATCCATACAGGTGTGTTTATTATATATCTTTTCAGTAACACAGCCCTTTTCTCTATCCCCAGCTCTCTGTTTATAGGGATACACTGTATGCCCATACATGTGTGTGTATATACCAGCACCTAGAGGTTCAGTCATACAGCTACTGTGTATGTGTGCATAAGGAACTCTTTCTACAATCCGTATGGACAGGCAATAGGTACCTACAGGCCACAGTCCCTCAAATACCTGGAATCAACTACTGCTACAACAGCATGCAACACCTCCTCCAAACTGTACTTGTTTTTCTGTATGTGGGTGTGCACAGGTGTGCCCAGAGGGATATACAGATACACACACATTTTTACCTACACATTCACAGCCCCCTGTCTTGAGACAGTGTTTAAATTATGCACACATGCCTTTTCTGTATCTGCTGTATATATGCTGGGGCTCTGTAGGCAGCGATACACAGCCGTACCTAATGCCACAGACCTGCATATACACACATGAGCACACACACATTTATTGCATACAATACACAGGTGCAGAGATGCAGGCTCTCACCCCCTCTCCACCTCTCTTTATATACACATGGTCTTTATATACAGAGATGAGAAATTATGTCTGTATGAGCCCCATGTAGAATACATTGTACACAGACCTTCTGTTATACACACACAAGATACAGTGCTCCCGTGAATGGCAGACAGCTGTCTACCACTAAATAAAATATGCACAACCCCTCTACCTTTCTGCAGAAATGTGTACATATTTCTCTGTATGTGTATGTATATTTACTGGCTAGATATGTATGTAAGAGATGACAGCTGTACGTGACCCTATCTCTGTAGTTACATAGCTATTTATCACACCAGGTTGGAAGAGACCTTCAGATCAACTCCACCCAGCCCCAACACCTCAACTAAACCCTGGCACCCAGTGCCACATCCAGGCTTTGTTAAACACACCCAGGGCTGGTGACTCCACCACCATGGACATATTTTATTTATATATTTTTTTATTTACATACACATCTTTAGACTATATGGAGATTCCATATATGATACAGTACACATACACAGACTATATAGACTAATAATACATGCCTTCCCTTTAAATACATAGAATTATTAACTATAAATAGAACACACCTGTGCTTTCACTCACAAGTATACTTACCTTTAAATATAAACACATAGATTTCTCACTGTGTGTGTATGGCTGTGGAATACTGTTATAGGGATATACAGAATACATTTTACCTATACATGAACACCGCCTCCCCCTTTTAATCATTTTATGTACACATCTATGTAAATATATATACACACACACACATATTTACATGTACCTTTTTACAGCTTCCCAAGTATATTAAGGGGATCTAGAGATACATATCAATATATAATACCACACACCTCTCTCTATATATGTGCAGACACACACATATGTTATACATAGGTGTATCTACACAGTCTCTCACCCACCTAATTTTATACATAATTGTTACTTACAGATTTAAGCATACAGATGCGGGGAAGAGCTGTATCTGTGCATGTATATATACAAGCCCCATATGTAACACATTAGACCTATACATACATATGTACATTTTCTACAGACATATCTGTGTGTGTGTGTTTACATCTATGCATATATAAAACCATATATATGTAGTAGCTATAGGTCAGTTGTTGTCCCCCTTTGAAAATGTAATTGTTACTCTTTAAATAGAATATACAATTACACACATGTATACTTATCTTTGTGTATGACTATTTATGTCTTATGGTGTGTATATATAAATCTGGAATGTATATACAGGACTATACATCTAACATGTGTACCAAATAATACAAGATATACATATAATACATATATAACTCTATAGCTCTACTTGACACCCCCGACCTTTATACATGTTTTAAATTCTATACAAACACCCTTTTATAGACAGCAGAGTTTAATACGGGGATGTATACACAGGGATATACATCTGTATGCAATACAATATGCACCTACAAAGATGTGCCTGCCCCTTTAAATCCATAGAATCTATACCTGCATAGACTTCTCCATGCAGACATGGGGAGCGTGTGTGTGTCCATGTAACAGACTGCATATACATGCACACACACTAGTGCATGTCTCCCCACAGTAACACATTACACCTATGACTGCAGCCATTTTAGAGATGCACTGTGTAGTCCCCTCCATGCAATTGTCACTTGCAGCTGCACAGCCTGACCTTTCTGTGGAAACAGACTTGTCACCGTGTGTACATTCAGGGACAGTGTCTGTATCAGGATATGCACTGCAGCTGCACACCCAGAGACACACACATGTGACATGTAATAGATGTTCCCGCAGCCGGTGAGATGTGTGTGTACACACACACACCTTGTCAGAGATCCACACAGGAATTCAGGGTACAGAGAGAAATCCACAGCCACTGCTGTACGCCGTATATACAGGCACACACGTGTTCTGGAGGATACACTGCTACAGACACGCAGTCTCTCTCCCCCTCTCCCTTTTTTATACACATAAAGGTCAGATGTCTCTATACAGATATGGGCAATATGAGCATACATGAGCTCCATACAGAATCTTTTACACACACACACACGTGTATATACACACACATATACACTCTAATACATAACTCACCCCTTAAATATATACAGTTATTTATTACTAACTAAAAAGGTCCCACCTCTCTATGTGTGTATATTTATTTATAAGATGCATGTATTTATATACAAATATATATTACAAATACACTGTAACTTTAGTTGAGAACTTGGATATATCTTTATTGCTATTTGTATAATGGGGGTTAATATCAAGGGACCTGTGTATATATATACACACATCTGTAAATAAATAGGATATGCCTGTATATACCTGCTCACTATACACACACAGTCTCTTGCACACAATCATTCTGTAGACATACAGGCAGTGTACATGGATGAAGAGTCCCCTATACAATACAGCATACTGTATGGACTTTTGATCCCTTTGCTCTCCTTGAACACATCCCCACATATGTAAGTATACACACATACACAGATATACAAACATCTATAAATTCGTGTGTACGTACACAGGTACTGCAGCTATAAGGATATACACATATAGTACATTATACATATCACCAATGATACATATTATACATATAAAATTATATTACCTCCCCCTTTTAATGTCTCTCAATGTATATATTATGGGGATATACCTCTATAAACAGTACCATATACCTGTGTATATATCTCTCTATCTCCACACACACACACACACACACACAAAAAATAAAATACATAAGTATATACAGGGTGTCCCCCCCAATTTTATATGTACATTTATCCATACAGATGGGAGAATATGTGTGTATATCTGCCCCATATATATGATATAATGTATATATCTCTAATGCTTACACACACAGACTCACACATATGCATATCTTTGTAGATAGCTATGGAATGTATATATACAGGGATACAAATACAAATACATCATTGCTATATGTGAACACACACACACACATTGTGTATATATGTATATGCACAGACATGGTCCCTCACACCTTTCCCTTTTTACATGCCCTACACCTATGTATAGATTCACACATCTTTATATATATAGTCCTGTAGAGCTTGGGGATGTGTGT